AGCGCAACGAGGTTAATGAATTGCAGTTTGTTTATTCTTTATTTGGTTTTTCTTATTGTTTTCTAAAGCGCACTTACGTTAGAGGCTATGGTGTATATTCCAGCATCAGATATGTCCCTGGCTAATCCAAAGTCTCCAACCTTAGCCACTAAGTTGGCATCTACTAAAATATTCCTCGCTGCCAGATCGCGATGAACGAACTGTGAGAAAAGACAATTTACCGATCTGCTGCTCAGACGATGCTCTCGAGTAACTGACTGGTTAATACCAAAGTACAAAGGATGGTTATTCGAGTGCTTTAGTCTCTTTACAGGGTTAATATTCAAGGGAAAAATTTCAAGAATCCTGACGCTTCAAAGTAAGTTCAATGCGTAATTTCAAAAGGATTTTCGAAGAATGTAATCTAGACTTTTTCCAAGGTGGAAAGCTACAACTCCGGGTGCACTGCTCTGTTATTCATTACTGGATTGTAAGAAATCATTATTGATTTAAGACTCGTTCAACTCACTAAGATTTTCTGCCATGAGTGTTTTTCAGCATGTTAAAAAGTAGAAGATAATCAACATGGCTCTAACTTGAACTGTGTTCGTCATATTCAGAGCTGTCAGTTCTGATGGAAGGTTGAGAAATTTGACTCTACATTTCTATACTCAGTCGGTTGGTCTTACCTTTCTCTCCTCTAAGTGCTGCATTCCTGCGGCTATTTGAAATGCGATTGTAACCAACTGCCGGTCATTTAGCTTAAAGGAGACATTGCGATAATTTTTACTTTCCCCTGGCCTATTCTTTGCCTTCAAGAGTTTTTCCAGGCTGCCACCACAAATAAATTCATTGATAACGAGAAGACTTCCTTGAAAAAGTGAAGCAAACACTTAAGAAGACCTCAAAGGTTTTTTATGCCGGGGGAAAATGGATCCAAATAAGTAGACATCTATATTTATACAGGATAGCCCCTTCAGTGTAGTAAACACTGGTATCAACGGGGGTCCTGTTACCCACCCATCCCTTTGGAAGGAAGAGGATATGACCAAGAAAAAAATTGACTCTCTGACAAGAAGTATTTCAGTAGCTTTATAAACAAATTGAGATCCGGCTCAGTCAACAAGTAAAAATTAGGAACACTATGACACATACTATTTGCGAAAGAATGAGGAGATCTGAGAGTTTACTTTGTTTTGCTTTGCTTTGCTTTACTTTCCTTTCCCTTGCCTTACTTTGCTTACTTTACCTTTGCTTTGTTTTGCCTTATATTGCCTTGCTTTGCTTTTCTTTGCTTTGCCTTGCTTTGCCTTGCTTTGCCTTGCTTTGNGGCAGTTGACAGAACAAAACCCTAAAGGTGCAGTTGTCAAGGAAATTTGCATTTTAAAAAAGGCGGATTTTTCCAGTTAAAGAGACCTTCATACGTGACTTTGCTTATATCGGCGTCCAAAGGAATACTGGGTTTGACCAAACCGGTAGCAGATCTCTTATGGGGCGAGTTGTTCGCGCTTCATCGACCTTGTTATTGCACCACAATGTGCAAAGTCATGAAAAGCTTCACAAATTTTTAGAAAAGCGTTTATCTCTTCCACGATGGACCAGGAAGATAACTGCCCTGTGTGAGGATGTAAAAGTGACCGTAAGTATCCTGAAAGGTGGAACAGTCTCAACGGTTCTAATTTGAACACCAGTATCAACGAAGTCGCGTATTATTTACCTGTTTACTACGTTTTTTGAGCCGAGTCCACACAATCCAGATCATTACACAGATAAGAGCAGCAACCAAAGCCCATAATACGACCATAATTGTCATCTGAGATGTTGAATTTTCTTTGGGTTCTTCTGGTAACGGATCTTAAACGAAAAGTCACAAAGACAATCAACGAAACAGTGTCAACGTTAAGATTGCAAACTTCTATTGAAAATTAACACTTAGCGCGAAAAATGTAGCTGTAGAGAAATTAAGAAAAGAAATAGAAATTTCTCGGGAATGGTGATAACGATGATACTGTGTATAATAATGATAGTCATATATTGATGATGATAACAATAATGATCATAGTAAAAGCAGCGTGTAGATGAGGATGAAGATAAGATGGAAGGAAAAGATGATGAAGAAGGATAGAATTGTAGAAAATGAAAAGAAAAGAATTTTGAAATTCAAGCCTAGCAATTTTGATCTAAAAAATCAGTTCCTTGCAGTTGCTGTCCTAAAGATTTCTATTTTACCTATATTTAACACAGCCACTTCTGATTGTCTGCTCCCATCCCTGTTTTTCGCAATACACCGATATATGCCACGATCTTCCATCTCCACTTCAGTTATCAACAGCTGGCTACGAATTCTTTGGTTGTCTGCTATAACATTTGCTCTAGGGTTGTTCTTTGAGGTTAGTGTGGCATTATCCTTAATCCAGTCGATGGTTGGCCTCGGAATACCCTTAGCAGCGCAACTAAAAGAAGCATCGGAACCGATCGAGACACGTTGTTGCCTTGGATCTTCAGCAATCTCAAGTGTTTGGATTTCTACAAGTTGACATATATATCAGCATTTATTTGTATGCATGTAGCACTGCAAGATATCTCTTTCGGCCTTACTTGGAAATATCGGGGTCAGGCGTTGCAGGATATTTGAGAGAACACTTGTGAAGACGATTTGCTACGGTTTTCAAGACCTACTTCATGTCAAATTAAGGTTTTAGAAATCGTCATAACAAGCGTTCGCTGGAGTACACATTGACTTCCGTAAGATTGGTGAAAATAAAGAGATCCGATGAAGCGGATTGTGGTTTTGATCTAAAGATGTGAATGTTTTACAACACAAACGAAATGAGCGAAATCGAGCGAGCCGCTCCGATCTATCTTAATACAGTAAATCAGGGTTTGAACTCTTTGGTAAAATGTGATACTAAAGTCTGATCGTCCGAGTGGGTGTAGTCCTGAGAAGGAATGTTGTCGGTGGTGATCTGACAGACGTTTCGGCAACCTGACTGGAAGTCATCATCAGACTCAAATGAAAAGTTGTTTTCAGAGGAATGTTCTAAGTCCGGTTCGTATAAAATGATTAGTCAGTTTTGCCGTGATGTTACTGGCACGGCACTTAACACCAACTTGGCCCTTTCACTGGCTTTTCGACAACGTGGTAAAGCAATTGTAAAAGAAATTGAAGAATTCAAATACAAAGCTACAGTTCCAAATGTTCACACCGCTGTGATAACATTACTCACACTCTTCCTTAAGAAGCAAATCACCCTGGCAATAACAAGTCGTAACAAGAAAGTTGTCATGACACGAGAGCTAAAAAATTCGTGAACATTTGCATTTTTCTTTATTTTTCCGGCACGATTGAGAAACTTTTTCAAAACTTTCTTCCTCGTGTTTTAACAGGGCTTCAATAAGCTCGAAAACGATACAACCAATTAGCCTTCAGCATTTTCTCTGTTTTCTCGATCTCTGTTTCCCTTGCTTTTGAAATAGTAACTGAGAAAATTTTATCAAAGTAAGGAGTTAGCCAATCATACAAATAATCAGGCTTGCGTGGTATACTTGGTGTTAAAGTGTTCGGAAGCGAAACGGAAATCAAACAAACACGTTTATCGGTAACACGGTAAATGGTAACTCACGGTAAACACCAACGACCGCCAAACAAATTCCGACTTCAAAACTCAAAACTTTCAACTCCTCTCTAAGAAACTTACACACGTCAAAAATAAAAGTTCCGCGTGACTTGCTAACGACATTTTAAATTAAAATCTCAAAGCACGCGCGCGCGAGTTGCGTGCGCACAAGTTCGGTAACGTCTTCTTAAGGTAGCTAGTACTAGTTTCCTCGCGCTAGGAACAGGTCACTCTTGCGTCACGCGCGAGAGAAACATACAAAAGAAGAGCGACATTAAAAGACGAAAGTTCAAAACCAAGATAGCGGCGCGTAGCTAGTTTCTACTTTTGTAAGAAGTTTACCCAACAGCATGTATCTGATGTGTTGAACGGCCACTGCTTATGCAGGAGACAGAAACGAAGATAAAGAAGACGATTCTCGGAGACATAAAGGTTGCTTCACATCTAAACGAAGTATCCAACCGACATGAAATCTTACGGCGGCGAAAAAAGGAGAACTCAAGTGAACGATAATCTGCCTGAAGAGGAAGAAGATTGTGAAACTTCAAGGAAAATAATATAATATAGCCAGACATTGTGAGTAGGTCCTTTAGGATGAGCCCGGCAGGCTATCTTTGATGGCTAATGAATGATTTTCTAAGTAGCAAACGTCTGTAAACATCAGATGGTAGGTGCTCGCGCGAACATACGCGATAGTCCGCGGTAGGTATAACAGATCATGAGCAAATATCGATCTTATAGAATCTAGATTTTTAAATGCGCGAGAACGCATGTGGGAACTGCTAAACTAACGAAAGCTATTGCATTAAAACAAGTCCGGTGACCCCTTCATTTTATTTTTCCAAAATGATAATAACGTTGAAAGGAATCGTTAGAAGAAAAATTTGAAAAATTTACGGAAGGACATTTGCGATGCATGAAAATTGCCTTTTTCTAGAAATTCCGCTCCGATTAATTTTTTTTTTTAATCTTTGTGCGTTTTCCTTTTCAAGTGCCGAAAGCAATCACTGAGAAAAATCACCGGGTGACCGAGTTAGTTTTCAAATGATTTGAGCCATGAGCTAAAAAATGCGTCTGAAGGATCCTTTGAAAGCCTTGCCATGGAAACTACTAGTGACGAAATGGCACCTATTTTTGGCTAGCCAATGATTATATAATTCAACCCTGTAAAAGTGTTCAACTGGCCTCGGTCAGTCTTTTTGTTGTATTCTTTCAAAGTTACAAATCATCAAAAAGATGAAAACTGGTACCAGCC